TTACCATGAATAAAATGATAAAAAATTCTTCGTTTACGAGGATAAGTCAGATAAATGGCAGAGGTATATTAAATATTAAATTACATAAAAAGTTACACATAGTCCCTTTAAGCCCCGTCCACACCGCCAGGGACACAGCGACATGATCCCATTCATTTCAATGAAGTGCTAGCGACTTTCTGTGGCATGAGCGACAGTGACCATTGGCGACAGAATGTGGGCATGTCAACCAACAAGAGAAAAGCAGCAAAAGTTGAGAAATTTCAATTTTATGCAAATAAGAAGCGATTTTCGCAAGCAACAACCATAGACTGTAAAAAAAATGGACAAAGCGCCTGTGACGTCACCCAGACTTTCTGAATAACGGTTTTGAGGCCGTTCATGGTCAATCGTATTTGACGATGATGGTCTTGACAGAAAATTTCTCCTAGTATTTTCCACAGAAAAAAAAGTTGTATGGGTTCTAAACAACATGAGAGTGAGTAAACAATGATATTTGGGGGGATAATAAACTATTACTTTAAAAAAATAATATTGCCTAACTGTATGAGGATGAGCAATGCGGAAAGAGCATTTCATAATTTACTGTAGAGGTGACACACTGTACTGTACCTTGTTTATTGCAGACTTCCACACATCCAGAGTCAGCTCTTCTGCTCTCTTTTTTCATTCCCGCTGTCTCTCTCTGGGCAATCTTTTACCCTAATCTCATTTTTCGATTCATTCACTCTCTCTTCTCTGCCTCTGATTCAATCTTAAAAGTGGTCCACACGAAGGGCAGACAAGCAATACAATCCAGGTCAATGTGAAACTGACCAAAGACACTCTACACCAGTTTTCAGTGCTTAATTCAAAGAGCTTACGTTTAAACCATTTAAACTTTTGAAAAAGGGGATTGTGTGTCACTGAATGTGTATCCTCATGAACACAAACAAACTCTCCTCAAGTGCCAGAACAGAAATTCTCCCCAAGGATGATTTTGTAACTGGAGACGTCATAAGCACCGCAAAGCATCAATTGTAAACCAACCGTAAACTTTGCGTGTGGCTGTGACGATCCTGGGAATTGCATCGCACGTCTCACAACACACAGCTCCAGAGAGACGTACAGAACTCAAACAGCCAAATAACATTAGCAGAGACATCATAGGTGCAGTCATCAAACAAAACATGCTAAATAAAACATCACAACCCAAGTTAGAATACATTCAAGTAATTCAAAAGTCGACATGACATTGTGCGTATATATGCTGTGTCATCCTACACAGTGGCGAGGTCACCTTTAAGAGAAAGCATGCGTAAGCACCTACCCTGCAGCCTCTGCATCTCATTGGCAATCTCCCTGTCTGAACGGCCATAGCGCTGAGCAGATGCCATTCCACTGATTCCAAGTCAGTGGTGCTGATGCAGGGCAGCGGATGCGGCTCCAACCGAGACTCCTCCAATGATCTAGGATCAGGTGGATCTACCCTGTATGAAAAGCGTAAATGTTTTAAATCAGTGCATGCCATGCAAACATATGGTTTCTTTCCTCCCTTTGAAGTTCAGTGCTTTCTGCAGGAAGCAGCCTCTTCCCTTAGCAGTCTCGCTCTCTTTCTGCCTCTCAGACTCTACTGTAGTCATCAGCATTAGTTTTCACTGCCACCTGCTGTCCAATCAGAGTGCAGGTTTCGAGTGCAGTCTGTTGACCAATAGTGAGGCCCGAATCGAGTCCTGTGTGTTACTTTAGCAATGCCAGACAACATTACACTAAGTGCTTCGATTAAAATGTTACATGTCTGAGCTTCTGCTCACGGAAAATGAAAAAAGATGCTGGAATAAAGCATATCCCAAGCATGTGAGTCCATTAAGTGAAATTCGAGAGGGGTGGGGAAAAAAAACTCCCATATGTACCAGAGACACACTGTTATGCTTTTCAATTCCATTACCAGTTCAATCACACACGCACGCTTGTTATAGGAAAAGAGCAAAGTGAAATGCCTGACTGGAGCGTTAAGTTCAGGATTCAGAGACCGCTCTGCTGAGTCTGCTGGTTTTCAAACAGCAGTGCTTAGCAATGACCTCTACACGGTCACTGCAGATGGATGTGTGTGTGTGAGAGAGAGAGAGAGAGAGAGCACAGCAAAGAAGTTACTGACATAAGTCCTTGTGCGCAGAGGATCTTATGCCATTCACATTCACTCACCTTCTCCATGAAGCCTCTGTCTCCTCCATCATTCTGAAGAGCCTATAAAGTGACTGTTTAGACTGTTTAGAATGACATATGTACAACATAGTTTTCAAATACGTTGCAGAAATAGAATACAAAGAAAGAGTTTAACACTGTCGAGCAAATAAACAAACTAATTAGCAAACAAGATCAACAATGGTGATGTCCAGGGAATTATTTGAAATGCAAATCAGATAAAAACTCAGAGTTCAGCCTGAAATGATGATTAGCTGCAACATGTTCTGTAAAGAGTAACAGAGCCATCTGCTGTCCATCAAGGGAAGACTGATAGGATAGGATAGGATAGGATAGGATAGGATAGGATAGGATAGGATAGGATAGGATAGGATAGGATAGGATAGGATAGGATAGGACAGGACAGGACAGGACAGGACAGGATAGGACAGGACAGGACAGGATATAGGATAGGATAGGATATGGCAGGACAGGGTAGGACAAGATAGGACAGACCAGGATAGGATAGGACAGACCAGGCTAGGATGTGACAGGATAGGATAGGATAGGACAGGACAGGACAGGGTAGGACAGGTCAGGATAGGACAGGATAGGACAGGACAGGTCAGGATAGGACAGGATAGGACAGGACAGGGTAGGACAGGTCAGGATAGGACAGGACAGGGTAGGACAGGTCAGGATAGGACAGGACAGGGTAGGACAGGTCAGGATAGGACAGGACAGGGTAGGACAGGTCAGGATAGGACAGGATAGGACAGGACAGGGTAGGATAGGACAGGATAGGACAGGACAGGGTAGGACAGGTCAGGATAGGACAGGACAGGGTAGGACAGGTCAGGATAGGACAGGATAGGACAGGACAGGGTAGGACAGGTCAGGATAGGACAGGACAGGGTAGGACAGGTCAGGATAGGACAGGATAGGACAGGACAAAATAGGATAGGACAGACTAGGATAGGATAGGATAGGATAGGATAGGATAGGATAGGATAGGATAGGATAGGATAGGATAGGATAGGACAGGACGGGATAGAGTTACAGCAGTTATAAATAATACAAATAAATAACACAATAAGATGCCAAACAAATTATAGGAAAAAAATCTGAAATATATTATTATCTAACATGAAAAGGAAGATTTTTGCAACTATTATACCACAAAAAAAGATTTTCATGATGCATGAATTCTATAGACTGTTAAGGATGGAATAACAAGTTTGGCTTTCATTTCTGATAAATTAGAATGACTTCAGCCAAAGCCTTACAAAAACATTTATTTTATTTATTAATACATTTATTTAATACAATACTAAACATAATTTAGTGAGAGCAAAAAAACAATCAAATATATTATACAATGTGAAAAAAAAACAGATATTGAAGAACAATATAAAGAGTTTTACAAAAAGATGTTCATGGTCCATGTGTTTTGTACACTATGTTGAGGATAAAATAAGAAGTTTGCCTTTTATTTCTGATATATTACTCATGACTTCAATGAAACCCTTACAATATTTTTTTTATTTTATAAATATTTATAAATGTTTTTGTTGTTGGTTTTTTTCAGGTTATATGAATGTCTTCAATTACAAAAATATATAAATAAATAAACTCTCTCTCATAAATTATGGCCAAGAGGTCACAAACATGAATTGACCATGTTTTTGTGGGAATTTTATTGCAAAAACACATAAGAGGCTGAAAATGAAGTGTAATGTATACTTCAGAACTGTATAGGGCAATCGCTGATATCTGCACTCCACAGCAACAATGAGAGGAAATGTCAGTATAGGGCCTGTCCCATTCCTCCCAGGTCAGCAGCTCTGTCCTAAAACCCTATGCTATCTACTGTTCTTAAACACTAACCTCCAGATACCCTTAATGAACACTAAGATAGGAAAGCCCACTGAGGTGAAAGGGGTCTGCTTCAAGACAAAATCCTACTTTCTCTGCAGGGATCTTATCAAGGTTTTGTTTTTACAAAAGCTAGCCTCGCCAGGATAACCCAGCACAAAGTTGGCACTCTACATGGAAAATCTGAAGCGCTGTGATGACCAGCAAGACTAGTGGAACGGTTAAAGCTAAAAAATCTTGAGAATGGTGTTATGAGATCTTTTGTTATGAAAAACATAGAAAAATGCTAGGGTTTCTTTTGTTTGGTTTTGATTGTATCCTGTGCTTTTGTCAGCTGCCATTTCTATGCTAATCTTTACATTGGTTATGTGTGGAAAAGACATTAAACATTAACGAATGTGTCCACATCCCTCTATTCTAATATTTTAAATGGCCGCATTAAAAATAAAATAAAAACATTAAAATAAATAATATTTTTCATGCAATTTTTATACTGTATAGACAAACATTTAATTTTGGGTCAGTACTGTGAAGTAAATTTCTTCTTCTATTCAGCAAAAATCAATCATATTCATTAAAAAAAACCAAGTGGCAGTAGAAAGCTTTACAATCACATTAATTACATTTTAAAATAGATTTAAATATATTTAAACTACAAACTGCCATCATGGTGACACAATGGTATTGTTCATTGCGTACGTCATTGTTCATGCCAAGCGACTGGCAGAGAAAGGAAAATATGGAAGAATAAAATATGATGAATTTTGGCCAAGGGAAAGATGACAAATGACAGGAGGAGAAATGGATTTCACACACACCTTGATTCTCCTCCTCTCTGTACACTCCTCCCTTTCCTCTCCATCCCACAGGAACCCTGGTCTGCAGAGATAAGGACAGCCTGCTGCTAATTTTAAGCAGGAAAGGCAGGAAATGTGAAGTGAAGACTTTGCTTTTCCACAAACAGAGTAGCGACCCCGGCCTTGGAGAGGATCCTGTGTACCACAGTGCTGGGGCTGAAAAAGAGACACAGACAGAGAGAAGAGAGAGAGGAGGGTCCCTACAACTGGAGAGTTGGATAGACACAGAGAGAGACACAAGAAAAAGTTAAAAGGAAGAGTGAGAGGAAGAATTGGAGGGGAGAGACTGTATCCCCTCTCGTCTCCCCTGTATCTCTGGAGGGAGCTATGGCGGATAACAGCACTCATGCGATTGTGGACAAACAGTCCTTCGAACTGAGTAAGATACTTTGCCATTTTTACACACTTGATATAGGGTCCTCTTTCGCATACATGGAAATGAACTTACAATGTTACATTGTCAACTTTGTATTTCTTTAAAAAATCCAGAGAGTGCAGTAAATGCTGTGTAGAGTCTTTTAGGAGAAATCATTTTTCAACAGAAATGCAGACAGTAGTAACTAGCAGTAAAAGATATTGGCAAAAACAGTCCATAAAAAACAACACCGCCAATGTGCAGTTTTTTTCCAGTCGGTCTCTCCAAATGTCATTTCCAGATGATCCTTCACTCTGGACTGTGATTCCTTTCACCCATGGAGAAAATTGCATATAAATATCCATATTATTTTACACACAAGTCTCTAAAGAGTTTTTGATGTCATTTTCTTATAATAATACATATAATTGTTATGTGCTGTGGTTAAAAATGGCTATAATTTGTCTGTTTCATTGAAATACAACATTAGAAGAACGCATGGCTCCTCTTCTATGCTTTTTAACCCAATTGCTCAGTTTCAAAAAGACCTGTTCCAGATAAATGTCCTTTTTGTTAATGAAATTGGTATTTCTCTAGACAATGGAATGCCATAACAGGAAGCTTCCTAAAATACAAACTATTTAATTCACTTTAGCTGCAAAGGATAAGAAAACATTGGGTGTGCCTTCTACTGTGGAATTTGGCCCAATTCTCAGTGACATTTCCATCAAGGAAAAGAAACAAGAAGCAAATTATTCCATGAATAATGAATTATTCAGCGCATTTTGAAGGACACATCAAGTGCATCCTTCATATCCTTCAATCACGCACAGAATCATTTGCACACATTCCAATTCACAAAAATAACTGACGCAAAACGAGTCGGCGCAGAGCTTGTGTGTAGTTCAATGTAAGACAAAACATTGTTTCGCATAGATGTTATCTTTTGTTTTGGTGTGAATTTAATTCTATAGGGACAGATACAATTAACGTAGATAAAACTGTGAAAACAGCCATCCAATGCGTGTTATCATAGCGCTTGCTTGTAGCTAAAGATAATTTGCAACACTTGTCCCAAATAATGGAAATGAATCACGTAACACTAAACTGACAATAATGTAAGCCCTAGTGTATTGCATTAACAAAAAAGCCAAAGTATGTTTCCAAAATTAAGTTTTAATAGTATTTTCGTGCCGTGACTGTGGGGGCGGAAATAAATTTGTGACGTAGCCATGCGGACTTAATAGACCATCTAACGTGATGAGTAGGAGGATAGCCGCCCTAGAAGCTTCAGAAGGAGTGGTCAAGGAACGATGCAGCCCTCCATTTGAGATGCACCCTTACTTCATGACCATTAAAAAAATATGTTCTATATAGTATGAATGTGTTTGGAGGAAGCCTATTACATTCCCCATGTTGTCAAGTGACCCACGGCATCAATTGCGACACTTCACTTCCATTCATAAATCCTCTTCTGTATCCTTTAAATCTGCGCTTCAGAATCTCGCTGGAACTAGGTCATCTAGGTAATTTTTCGCCTACTCTTTTTTGAATTTGAACATACTACATGCTGATTTTTCACTTACTATATAATATGGAAGTAGGCATATTCCAACTATAGAGTGTATGTGTTTTAAAATTGGCTTAAAGTATCAAACATGTCTGATATCTTCTTATATTTAAAAAAAAAAGTACGTGCCCATCATACACTGCACGATTTTCTGTGAAATCTGTCAACTCCGACTGCCCAAAACCTGCAGACTGGCTCAGACTATTGGCAACTAGTGTTGACTCAAACAGTCACAAACTTTTTTTCTTTTTACCTCTCTCCAGGGGATATGATTTTGGCCTTCTGTCTTTCTATGGTTGTTGGTCTTCTGCTGGGAGCTGTGGTCTATATGATCTTGACCTGGATGTCTCGCCGACAGGCATCAGCCACCATCACGCATGTACCCATCCACCAGTCCCGCTCCACCACCCGTTCATCCTCGCCACGCTCTCGGCCAGGCTACAGTCGTCACAGCAGTGGCTTTGACCGACGCAGCAATAACAGTCTGGCCAGCGCTGCCTTCTCCTTCCATCGGCAAACCTCATCCTCACCGATAGACTATGGTGACTCACCGGGCCGCAAATCAAGCTTCCGGGCCTCTACGTTTCATCCTCTTCTTCAATGTAGCCAGATTGCTCGCGAGGCAGAGGAAGGTGCCCAGGGTAGCCTGCCACGAACCCCCACTCTCACTACCAACCCTGGGGCGGCTGGATCAACCAGCACTGTCTGTTCTATGGTCACCCCACCCCGGGCCAGAACCCGACCAGATTCCTTCTGGGGCAACAACAATCTAAGGGGTTTCCATGCTGGCCAGACTCCACCACCTGCCTATGAGAGCATCATACGAGCCTATCAGGAGACGACCACGTGAGGGAAGGGGACATGCATGCTACTGTTATGGGGGAAGATATAGATGCATTAATAGACTTGGACTGGAAAATTGGACAACTAAAAGCAATATTGATGGAACTTAACTGACATGGCCAGTTTTTTAAAACTTGCATGTGTTGATTTGTGTATATGTGCATATTTCTGTTTGCTCATAAGTGTGCAAAGTCAATCGGAAAGTGTTTCAAAAAGAGAGTGAGATGAGTTTTTTGATTCTACAAAAAAGCCAAAAGACTGTAAGGTCTACAGTATGTTTGTGTAAAACAGAGAGGGTGAGAGAGAGGAAGCATGAAATGTTGAAGGTTGCAATAAGCACAAGGACAAATCTCTATTGCAAATTCCAAAACAGAGAGTTATTGCAAACACTAATTTAAAATAGTTTTGCTACAAACTCATTAAATTGTGTATTTATTGGCTTGTTTTCTGGGAACTCTAGTCTTTTGGAATCATTGTAAATATTTCTCAACACAACTGTAGGCCTACTTGTAAAAATAAACAATGCATTTTGCAATAGCCTTTTGTCTAAAACATCTGCAGGTTTTAACTGAACCAACTGTTTACTATTTTGTTATCATAAAAGAGATCGATAGTTCAGCCAAAAATGAACTTTCTGTCAAGATTTGCACCCTCATGTGACCATCCAGCAATTACTTTCTTCTGTGAAACACAAAAGAGAACATTTGAAAAAAAAAAAGTTTTGTTTTTGTTTTCCAGTGAAAAAAGTCCAATGTTTTTTTAACCCTGGTGTCCTTCAAGGTATCTTTGTGTTCCACATAAGGAAGAAAGGCTTACATGTTTGAAACATAGGCTAAATTGATGAAAACAGAGTTTTTATTTTTGGGTGAACTATCCATTTAATGTGTCTGTTTTAGAGTGTTAAACATGAATGAACAGAACAAGGACGAATGTTAAGGTGTTTCCAAGAGGGTTAGAGCACACACATCCTGGAAGTGACCTGGCATCCTTGAAGTGACCGGATTTCCCTGACAAGAGGAAGGAATTGTCTCAACAGGTTTAAATGTATGCAAAGACATAATGTGGAAACTGCAATAGGTTACCTCTGTTTGGTGTTAGTTTCATACCGTCAATATTCTAGCAAAGCATTCTGGACAAGGACTATTCCAGGCAGGCGTGAAAACATAAAAAAAAAAAATTGAAGTGAGCATTGACGGTAGGAAATTTTCGACGCGTGACACTGACTTTGCGGTACTTACGGTAATGGCACTCTACGTCAAGCGCGTTCAGTCTTGAACACAGTTCCTGTTTACATTTGCTGTCAAGCGTGATTGTTTTTCTTTTCAATGCCGCCTTTATCGGAAGGAACTTCAGTTTTATAGGTAAATTGCACATTTCACGTAGTTTCATGCGTTAAATGACAATTTTGTACGTGCGCACGCACGCAATGAATTTCCCTAGAATGCCTCCCAACTATTCGGCTTTTTCCATGTAACTTACTACGTTACCCGACTGGTTATTTCATCAAATGACAAATTATCATCCAAGTAAGATGTTTAGTAAGCAGTTAGCCTGATATCAGCAGTCTCTATAACTAAAGAAGTGTGTTGAATGTTTCCAAAAAGGAACAGAAAGAATGAAAACAACTGACAGTGATTCCTCTGGCATCTCATGACTCCACCACCTCTTCTTTAACCTTTAGCAGTAGCACCTAGGTTATAATCGACGTGAGAAGATCACCAGCAGTCATAAACAGCTGGTAGCCTATATGTCTCACCGTCCCCCTGGCCAAGAATTGATGTGTGCAATCGTCTGATATCTGCAAGGGAAGCTAATGTCTGTGTCCGCCCTGCGACTGATCCGCGTCCGGAGGTTGAGCAGCAGCACTGCACCTGCTGTGAAGAGAGCACTGCCATGGAGAGATCTTAGTAAGAGCCTGAACCTACTGACATGCCCACCTTTACTGCATTTATGATGCAAATAAATTAATAAAAGAAGTTTGTCTAGGAATGCAGCTCACTTGAACTGGAGACACAGCCTTAATATATCTGGCACTTTCCAAGATACCTACCAGATAAAACAGGGCCTGATTTTTTTAAATATGTTGTTTGTGACGATTTTCTAATGATAAACAAATCATATTTTGTTGTTCATAAATTTATACTACCGTTAAAAAAGTTTATGGATAGTAGAATTATTTTAAACAATACTTTTTATTTTGCAAGGAAGGACGCATCAAAAGTGTCAGTAAATACATTTATGTTACAATTGCTGTTATACAGTGGTATAAAAGATTTATATTTCACATAAACACTGTTCTTTGAATATTTATTCAATAAGATCATTAAGATTGTTAATAAAGAAATCTTTCTTGATCACCAAATTATCGTATTAGAATCATTTCTGAAGGATTATGTGACACTGGAGCAATGACTGCTGACAATTCAACTTTACTTTCAGGAAAAAATTACATATTCAAGAATGTTTTCAAATAGAAAATAGCTATTTTAAATTGTAATACAATTTCACAATATTACTGTTTGACATTTATTTTGATAAAATAAATTTGAATTGAATTTATTGACAGGATAGCCCCTTGAGATGCAACATCTCATTTTCAAGGGGGTCCTAAAAACATAAGTAATTTACAACACAGACAACATAAAACATAAAACACAACAACATTACAAAACAAGACTACAAGAAAAAATGCAGCTTAGATCAGTATAATAGATTAATACAACCCCAAATCTTTCAATGGTAATCTATATTACCTATAAAAAAATGCATTTTGTTTGTGGCTGCTACATTCCTATCAGTCCTGCATGATAGTCCCCGCATTCCTTATTTATTGCTTTGATAAATTTGACAGATTTATTCTGAATACTTAACTGAATCATGCTGAATGCTGGTCTTCATCTCTTTCTTGTCTCTAGGAAAAATAGCAAAAGTGACTGGAGCAATAGTATTGGGGTAGGTTTGTAGATTCTTATTTTTAATTTTTGCATGTATTCGACAAGCCATCAATAAAATTATATCATAGAATTTTGCATAGAGGAAGCAGATGTTACAAATAATATATCTTCTCAGACAGATTTGTTTTCCTCTCTGAAACAAATTGTGACTTTATCAAGTTTGCTTACACAGAGGCTGTGTTTTCATCACATATGAGGTGGTTACTCTCAACCAGGCCCTCACTATTGACACCAGTGCAATACTACAAGAGAAGCACAAGTCCTACATCTACCTGACTCACGCCACTAATAGGGAACAAGAGAGCCTTGCTTCTGGTACATTCAGTTTTCATGCTTGTGTGTTTTTGTGCTTATCAGTGAGCCGAAAGATTGATTTGCATTTACATTTATTCCTCAAAAGCAACTTGCAAATGAGGAAATACTACACCACTACTGCAAACGAATGTGCCTCAGTGGTCCTGATTTGCTGAGAAAGTACTTGCTAGTGAACAATTTTTGGTATTTTTCTGGAGTTATAAAACAATGAAGCACCCGAGACCCGAGTAGCGAACTTCATCCCTCTTTTTTTACTCCTCCACCTCCGTTCTCACACACATTACATCAATACACAACAGTTCAGGCTTTCTTTTCAAAATAGTAGTCAACACAACAGACCAGTAGTTATGTAGACAGTACATAAATAAAGTTTTTGGTGGGGCATCATATAGTCTCCAATTAGATTACATTTTTTTTGATAGTATAGTATGTGTTGTTCTATTGTTCTATATTTTGTACAACTTGACATTAAAACAGGCCATTCCTGTATAACAGTTGATTTACCTGTTGAAATGTATTAATTGCCCTTAACAGACAATATTCATTTTACAGGCCTCACTATCAAGACCAGGAAGGAGCTTCATAAAGCAGCTAGAAAGTTTCTTGAAATTACATCAAGAGTTCTTCGTCACCCACTGGACGGTGAGTAGTTTCATCTCTGTTTGATGGCAATGACAAGTCATGGAGCCTGTTAATGCTTTTAAAATATTTTTAACTAGATATCACCTGTAGTTACACAGAGAGGAATTGACACTGTTCTGTTTTAAATGGGACAGGTATCTCTGTTCTTCTGCATAAAGTGGAATCTAATACACTGCTTTAACTTTATTTTTTATAAAGTTAAAGCAGAGTCTTTATTATTACTTTATTTTATTTTATCACAGCATACTTGGCATCAGGTTTGAGAATTGAGACTGAAGGGTAGTTTATAATATACACTACTGTTCAAAGTTTAGGGTCAGTTGGATTTTTTTTTAAAGAAATGAATACCATTATTTAGCAAGTATGATTTGCATTAAATTGATAAAAGATGGCAGTAAATACATTTGTTACAAAATATTTGAATTTCAAATAAATGCAATTTTAATATCAAAATTTCCAAATAATATTAAGAAACACAACTGCTTCATAATACTTTTGTTTATAGAAAGAAATGTTTCTTTAGCACCGACCAAATCAGAACATAAGAATGATTTCTGAAGGATGATGTGACACTGAAGTCTGGAGTAATGATGCTGAAATACAGCTTTGCCATCACATTGCATTTAAAAATGTATTAAAATAGAAAACAGTCATTTTAAGTAGTAAAAGTAATACGTATAAAATGAATGCAGCCTTGATGAACAAAAAAAGTATATTATTGACCTTTGAATGGTAGTATATGTTTAGAACAAAACAGTTTAGCAAAGTGTGCCAAAGTAGACTAGAAGACTGATAGACTATAGACAACTTTACTGTACTCTATGTTTAACTGAAGGCATCTGTTTCCATTTGACTTGCTAAAATCATTAATTTAATATTAAATCATGATTTTAACATAATTTCTAGCGTGTCACTGTATTTGTAGTTATGTGAAATGGGCATGTGTTTATTTTGTTTTCTCAATTAGAGCGTCTCAGTCATCTAGACGCAGATCCTAATGAATGTGCGCTATGGATGCTGCTGAAAAGAACCTTCTCTGCTGACCGGGCCGTGAGACAGCAGGCTGTGCAGGAACTGGCACAAAATCATCACTGGCAGGGTGAGAGACAGCAGCACTTCAGTCTCATGATTAGAAAATATCAAGATTTATTGCCATTAATGTTCTTGCTGAGAAAAACAAAACTATTTCTACTGGGCGTACCCCTTTGCCCACCAGAGAAAAAAAAAACAAATCACTATATAGTCTGTGAGCTCTGATTGATCTTTTGTCTTATTCATCACAGATTATCAATACCGGACTGCAGCACAGGTGATAGATCAGCGCACATCTGTGGCTCTCGCCCGCACACCTAACGTGGACCTGCGCTTCTTTCTCCCTCCTCCTCTACTGCCACACACTGATGATGTGGGTAGCTAACATTCAAACAAAAGCCACATTGAACTGCTGTTTGATGTCAGCTATTAGTGCTAATGTTTTGTGCATGTATAGGATATATCAATAGAAGAGGAACTTAGACAGTTACTGGGATCTCTGCCCCAGTCGGAGGTGGATCAGTGTGTGCAGTACTTTACTTCCCTGGCACTTCGAGAGAGCAGCCAATCACTAGCCTCTCAACGGGTGAGACATAAACACACTCAACCTATAGAGTGCAACAGCCAACATCTGCAAATAAAGATCCCATTCAATTTTCTCAGTAGGGGAATGGATTTTTAAGAATAGCTGTTCATTGATATTGCTGTATATGGCAACTTACTGTATGTCTTACATAATTGTTTAACAGTGGAATTCCACGTGATAAACCAATCAGAAAATCAAAACCGGTCGGCCACTCCCATGAAACACTGTGAATGTAATAGTCAATCACCCTACACTCTCAAACTACTTAAATATTTGTATAAATGTGCATATTTTGCAATGAACATATAAATATATTGTTTAATGAGTATTTTTAAGTACATTTTTTTTTTCAATTAAGTTGTTTACAATGTTTCATGGAATTGTAGTTCTTTCCCTGACTAAACACCGTCTTGTACCTTAGTCTATTTGTTCAATTTTCAAACATGTTTTTACTTCAAATCAAAGTTTAAAATGTTGTTATTCACTTCAGAGCTGTAGGTTTGGTTCATTGCTTAAAATTCTTACTGATTTTTAAATCGCCATGGGAAATATGAATGGGAAAAACCAAGGGTGCTGAAAAAGTGAGCAAGCACTGTTGCACTCTATTTGGTCGAATTTATTTCCAGAAAAAAAGTGACAATCCATTAGCTGTGCATGTTTGTGGTTATAGGGAGGGCTGTGGTGTTTTGGAGGAAATGGGTTGCCCTACGCCCAAAGTCTCACTTCCACCCCCTCTGAGAAGGTGGAGACATTCTGCCTGCAGGCCCTGGTCCAGCACTCAAAGGTCAAGATTCACAAACTCTGCTAAATGACATGTATTTTGCAACAAGGAAGTAGCCGATGATCAAAGAAAACACGATGCTTGTGTATGATGAGTCATCATTTGTAGATATTCAGTTTAAATAAGTTTAAATGTTCCTATAATGTTTTTCCACTTTTTCTATTGTGTAATGTTGCTTTTTGAGCATATAAAGATCTGCAAGGTTATAAAGCTCAAAATCTACTCCACAGGGAGATACTTTATTTTAACAGAATCCACTTTTTATAACGACAAACGAATGCAACTATAACGAATGGCTCGTTTGGACTAGACCGTGTTTTTTCCGGATCTTATGAAGTCACAATGCTACTCTAAATAATTCCCACCCACGGAATATGCAAAAAAGGTCGGCACGGCCTGGCTGAGCTGCATTTGAGAAGACAGTAGGTGCGTCCCAAATCGTGTACTTGTGCACTATTCTATGCCATTTTGTAGTATAAATACTGCGAGTAGTGCATTCACTCTGAAAATGACCCGGATGATGCACTTATTTAACCGAAAAAACGAATTGTGGAACGTTGGACACTTCTTGCACTCAACTGTCGCAGATTTAATTACGTAGCGGAAGGGGAGAGGCTATCAGACTCCAAAGTTGAAAGACAAAATAAACGTATAAAGTTTATACACTACACGGTTGAGTACTTGCAGTTATGGAGGGGTGGGACATTTCCCAAACACGTGAGGGGCTTCATACACCCAAAAAAAAAAAACAATCAAGAGTTCGTAAAAAGGAATAATAGGACCCCTTTAAGTCCAATTTGACTTGAGCAAATCATTGTTTGTTTTAATAAACACAAATTTCCAATTGCGTTGTTCACAGGTCCGCAGTCATTGTGACTACATTGTTGCTAATGGAGGACTGCAGCTCTTGCAAAGAGTCTACCAGCTTCGCAGAGACTCTCCAAAAATTCAGTGCAACATTGTGCGAATTATTGGAAATCTCGCCCTGAATGAGAGTGCGCACACAGCCATAGTGCAGTCAGGTTAGCCTCGTATTTTAGTATTACTGATTTATGAGTTAATGTTGAATAGATCATTTATTTTATTTTGTTTTGTGGTTGTCCTTGAGGTTGGATGTCTGTCCTGGCTAAGATGATCCAGTCACCTCACATCATGCAGGCATCTTATGCTGCCCGCGCTTTAGCCAATTTGGACAGAGATGCAGTAAAGCAGAAGTACCAGGATGGTGTTTACATTTTGCACCCACAATGCCGCACAAAGTAAGCATGCTAGCTTATTTGGACTGCCTCATGCTCACCAAGGCAGCATTTATTTGATCAATAATAAAATAAAAAAAGTACAATTTAAACTGTTTTAAAATATTTTAAAATGTACTTTAATCCTGTGATGGCCAAGCTGAATTTTCAGCATCATTAGTGTCACATGGTTCCTCAGAAATCATTCTAATGTGCTGATTTAGTGCATTCATTTGAAATAGAAATCTCCTGTATCATTCTAAAAGTCTTTACTGTCACACGATTAATTGAATGCATAATTGCTGAATAAAAGTTATCATTTCTTTTTTTAAAAATCTGATTGTCTCCAAACTTTTGAAGGGTAGTGTAGATGATTTTTTTTACAATATATGTTTTCTATCCTTATTATTCAGCCAGCCGATCAAAGCTGATGTTCTCTTCGTGCACGGCCTCTTGGGAGCAGCTTTTAAAACATGGCGTCAAAAGGACCGTGACGTGACGGATGATGACAAGGTGGAAGGGGTCCGAGAGGACTACACTGAATGCTGGCCCAAGGTCAGATATTTTCTTGAAGAAACATATGGGTAAAATCTCAGTTACCAAAATACTGTTTGCGGTATAATGGCATAATGTTAAAAGCGCTTTATAAATGAAGGTGATTACAGAGCTTCAGAGGTATTTTGAAAGCCAGACTAAAGTCCAATGTCAGGAATTCAAATCTTATTTTGTATTTTATACAGTCTTGGTTGGCTGAAGACTGTCCAAACCTCAGGATCCTGTCTGTGGAGTATGACACCCATTTAAGTGACTGGAAGGCTAAGTGTCCTGCTGAAAACCAAAGGTAAACAGTCATGGTGTGAATATTCAATGATCTACATCAATAAATTATCTGATTAACTCAATGTAGCACACATGATGTCAATGTTTGTTTAAGTTTTTTAGTGTTTTTTTATTACTTTTTGTGCTATACAGGAAGTCCTTGGCCTACAGGAGTCAGGAACTGCTGAGGAAGTTGAAGGATGCAGGTGTAGGGGACAGGCCTGTGGTCTGGGTAGCCCACAGTATGGGAGGTTAGTCCATGGTGGGTCTTACAATAACCAGCATCTGAATATGAGAGTAACTTGCAAATCTTCCTGTGACATTTATTTGTGATAGAATAGCTTTTTACAAAATAAAATAAATTGCAATTGCAGTTTGAACTGTATTTAATACTGCCACTGCTTGTATATCTATCTATAAATTATGGTTACGTCGGTGTGTCTGTTATTCGCATATCTCACGAACCGTTAGTCCGATGGATATCAAACTTGACATTCGTTTTGTTACGGGCTCAAGTAAATGCAGTGCCAAATTTGACGTTGTTTGGATTAGAAATGCAAAAGATATTGGTAAATATATCGGTAAAAGAAGCAGGTTGTGGTTTAAAAATAAACATTGACAAACACACTTGTAAGTGATCTTGTATACTTGTAAGTGATCGCTGAAACACACCAAACCAACAATTACTAAAAACACACACAAAAAATGGGTTGAATTATTTTGAGACTTGAGGGAAACCACTTGAAACATTGGTTGTGTTGAGCTATTTCAGTTACTTTTGTTTGATTTGCTCATTGCAAACAGCTGAAAGTCGGTAAATTTTGCCAATTATAACAATTAGTTATATTAATATATTATGTATGCATTATATATATATATATATTAGACTAAAATATATTAAGACTAATCTGACATTTTCAAAAGGGAATTTATTTTTTTAATATTTGTTTTTGTGGTTTACAAAAAGCCATTTGTAATATGGGGTCTGTTGATTAACTGTATCATAATTTGATTCATAGGTTTACTTGTGAAAAAGATCCTCTTAGATGCCTCAAAAGATCCTGATCTCAGTGCACTGTTCAAGAACACGAAGGGAATTTTGTTCTACAGTGTTCCTCATCACGGCACATTCATGGCTGGGTATTCTGTAAATGTCCGATACCTCCTGTTTCCTTCTATTGAAGTAAAAGAACTATGTAGAGGTATGATGTGATTTATTTTTGTTCTCTGAAGTTTAATATAATGTCAAAGGTGCAGTAAGCGATTTCTGAGAAACAGTTGATATTTGAAATCAACGCAAACAAACACACCCCTCTCTTCATTGCTCCACGCACAAAATGTACAAACACTCAATGCAAGAGTGGATGTCTCTTGAAGCAAAGCAAAATAATGCTTCTCAAAAAAAATAAAGCGAATAAGATGAACAAACAATGAGAAAAAAATAATAACGTATAGGTATACAAGCATGAGTTGGTTGTTAGTCACCAGCAGGACACCAGCTCCAGACACATAATAATACTCAAAACTATCCTATTACTATAGCTAACATTACAACAGAGTCTTGGATCTGTAAAACAGCAAAAGCATTGTTACTCACGTATGGAGCAGAAATATTGCAACTTCTGTGTCAGGTTTCAGGATTTCCCAGCGCTGGATAGCTTTTCTTATATAAACTTGGTTCCTAAAGCTCTTGCCTAATAACTCTTATAACTCATAACTCTCCTTTTTCCAGTGATATTCCTCTGACCTTTTCTATTTTGTAATGTCTCTCAGGCATATCTCTTTATACAGTCTTTCTTCAAATCTCCCTTTCTCCTCCCCCATTATGAATGAACTACTGCTGATTGGCTATAAGTGTGTTGTGGTTCTCGATCTGATCCACTTTTAACAGCATTTCTCAGAAATTGCTTACTGTCTCTTTAATTCATCCTGATTCGATTAAAGGGATAGTTCACTTTGAAATTAATTTTTGGTATGTTTTAGCTTACCTCAAGGACATCCAAAATGTAGGTGTAATTGTTTCCACAGTAGTTTCAATTTTGATATTTTTAGGTCAAACCGTTCGTGTCTATCAGTCATAAAATGGAGGCCTATGGTCACCACCTCAAAGAGCATGAACAGAGAAATCCAAATTAAACATGATTTAATTACTCGTAAATGTAAGAACACATTGATGGCCTAAGACAGAGACGAGCAGTTTGTGTGAGAAAACGAACAGAATTTATATCGTTTTTACCTTGTGTTACCACAGCCACAAATCGCCCGCAGATCAGATGGTTACAAGAGGTAAAAACGATGTAAATACTGTTCTTTTTCTCACACAAACCGCTCGTTTCGTGTGTCTTAGGCCATAAATGTGTACTTACATTTACGAGTCATTCAATCATGTTTAATTTGGACTTCTCTGTGAATGCTCTTTGAGGTGGTGACCATAGACCTGCATTATGACTAACAGACAAGAACGGTTTGACCTAAAAATATCAAAATTGAAACTACTGTGGAAACAAAGACACCTAGTACATCTTGGATATGCTAAAACATACCAAAAATGTATTTCAAAGTGAACTATTCCTTTAAGATCCTACAGTATGTCTCAGTTACACATCATTTTTCTTTTAATCTATTTCTACTTAGACTCTCCAGCTTTGCGGGACTTAAATGAAAATTTTCAGTGCATTGCAAAGGATCAAGAGTACAAGGTCCTTAGCTTTGCAGAAACGTTGCCTACATCCATTGGGCCAATGCTCAAAATTTTGGTAGTTCCTCTCCAGTCGGCAGGTAGGTCAGAGCAATTGAACAACAAGCAGCAGCAGTTCTTTCTCATCATTATTCTTAGATAATTGTCAGGTTTTAGGTATCTGACATCTCCAAATTTCTCCTTTTTCTCATTCAGATCTGGGTTTTGGGGACCTTATCCAGGTGGATGTGGATCACCTCAACATCTGCAAGCCAGAAAGAAAGGACACTTTTCTCTATAAACGCACTTTACAATTTATTCGGGATGCTCTTGGACTCTGACTGAAACTGAAAGGAAGTGCTAAAATTGCAACTGAACTTTTTTTCATGATCCTAACCATTTCCTATCCATTTATTTGTGAAATGGAAACACCACTGACCTTTCATTTTTATTTTTAAATTATTGCCAATATGAATAGGCTTTGTCAAAACATCTGGGTTTACCTTTTCATGTTTTGCCCTCTTCACCATTGCCTTGTACTGTATTTTGCCTCAATTATTTTAAGTGAGAAGCTATAACAAAAAGAAATGAGGATCAAGTTTATTGTTTACTATATCATGTCACATTTTAAAACTCATTTATAGAAAGTCTGTTTTATTCTTGGAAGAACAATACATATATTTAATAACAGACTAAAAACTAGCCTTATTTTCTTAACTCACCTGCCTTCTTTGTGTCCCTACCTCCAGTTACAGGTTGGTTGTGATCTTGGCTGTAATTTCCCAGTATTTTTGTACTAATGTATTAATTGTAGTACTTGCATTGGGACTACTATGATTTTGATGGTGACCGTGCAAGACACAATAATTGTGAAATCTTTATCACGCTGAATAAAGCTGTGTATCCAAACTTTGTATTCTTAAATAAGTTTACTACTTTTTTACACTGAATGGGTATTTCTGAATTACTATTTTTACACTGAATGGGATTATATCAATTTTTATGAGCAGCTTTTTCTTCTCAGTGTGTGGAGCAGAACTGTGCTCCTGGCCAGCAGGAGACAGCAAAGCTCACAAACCGAATGCTAGTCAGACTCAGTTCGAAGAGGAACACGACTGTGTCATCAAAGCACGTCCATATTAGACATTCTCTGGTGTCATTTTGTTATTTTCTTGAACATATTGGTTGGTAAATTCACAAGATTGGCGTATGCGTTTGGAGAGACGCACAGTATGTCACGCGTTTGTAACGATTACAAACATTCATGATGTATCGTTACTGCTAACTTAAAACAACTTTGCCTTTTGTCCTCAGATAGAAACAGACGCTTAACTGAAGGAACAGTAGCTAGTGTTATCACATCCCGTCAAAAATGGTTAACGTCTTAAAAGGAGTTCTCGTTGAATGGTGAGTTTTACAGATAACAAAACGATTTAAAGGTGCATACAGTAACTTTACATGGATACTTTACATAGAGCGAGCGAGCCACCATATGCAATTGGTAACATTGCGTGCCCATCAAAACACCGTTTACCGTATAAATAATCATAAGACAGTGACTAACGTTAGAGTATTACTTAAGTGTCGTCTGTAACTGAAAAACTTTGCTTTTGCATGTGGCAAACTTAACGTTACATCCTTGACTCATCTTATCCAGTTGATGCCTTACAAACAAAAACATTCTGTGTGCACCTTTAAAATAAAAGTCTAGAGTAATTGCACCTTCATTTGTGGTTCTTCTTTTAAAATACGAAACAGTGACCCAGCTATGAAGCAATTTCTTCTATATCTGGACGAGACGTCAGCGTTGGGGAAGAAATTCATCATCCAGGATTTGGATGACACGCATGTTTTCATCCTAGCTGAAGTTGTGCAGATTCTCCAGGAGCGAGTAGGAGAACTGATGGACCAGAATTCATTTCCCATCACCCAGAAATAAACGCCTGAATCTGACAGCAAACCCTACAGTCTGTGAGAGCAGATGGATGTGGAGATTCTTCCTGCACAATTGCACAAACACAAATGCAACTGAAATATATAGAGGACTGCCCACCAGAATGATGCCTATTCTCCTTGGTTTAATTTGACTGTGTGGCATAAGTTCTTCTTCTAAAGGAGAATTATAATTATGTGCTTTAAGTTGTCCATGTTTCAAACACAGTTTCTTAAATCTTCACTGTAATGAATTGTTCGGAGTTGAAATTTGCATTGCTGCAGAAAGAAACAACTAATTGTATATCAATTATTTTTTCAACATTTCAAAATTGTTTAAAAAGTACATTGTTCTACTGAAAGATGGTTCTTCATAATACTAGCATCAATTAAAAAAAGTAAAAACAATATATCAAGTATGTCCTTAATTTGTGTTCATTGCAGACTGCTATATGGTACCAGACTGTACAGTTTTAGGCTTCCAGTGTTTTCTCATCAGATTTCTTGTGAAACACTAGATCAAGCCACTGGCAGAAGGATAATATTGGGTATTTTAGACAATTGAGATGTGTATGTGGTCAGAAAACTGGTGAAAGATTGTATCATGTAGTGTGAGGTGAATCAGATTGCCAGAGTCAATGGCATTACATTTCCAAAATTTGTCTTGGTTGAGGAAGGGAAAGTGGTGCAGTATCCTCTTGGAATAACCTAGGAGTTTACCTAAATTTTTATAGGCCTACTCACTGGCAAACTATACAACACCACAAAAAGGTGCTATTTCCTTTATTTTCGTTTCCAACGAAAACCTTTGTGTGGAAATAAGAGGAAGTGTTATTTTGGGTTAGACCAAGAGATTTGCAGTGTTGGAACCAGATTATTTTGTTATCAGGTACCTAACGGCTAGCTGTCTGTACATCTATCTAACTCTTTCATATATAATCTGTGTGTGAAAAAAGATCTATCATCTGTCTGAAAAAAAAAATGCTTGAATGGTAGGCTACTCCACAGACAGACAAAATACAACAAATCCCATTGCTATACAAACTAAAAATATACATGTACAGAAATTACAAAATAATTGCTAGGCAATAAGACAAGATAATCAGTGAAAAAATAAGACAATAAAGTGACATTTTTGACATTATAAAGTGTCCAGTAGCCTATTCTTACCTAACACTAACATAAGTGATAAAATTTGGTTGAGATGTCTAGCAGTCTTGTAGCATTGGGGTGGAAACTAGCCTATTCCAGAATCTTGTGGTGCTTGTTTAGAAGTCCTGAGCTGTTTGCCATCTATCTATATATCTATCCATCCATCCATCCATCCATCTAAATTCTGAGTCCAATCAGAGCAAATAGTATATCTGTTGTTGTTTATTTCAAATGGTAGCCTACTTAAAATATTATGAATTTGATAACCTCCATAACAACCTTTTAAAAATCTATTTTAAAAATAAAATATTAAATAAACGATGTTGATTTTGGTCACTTTAAATGTTTACGCGTTCGTACCGCTCCTGTGTTAGTCACACACTGTATGTTCTACGCATTTGTGAGCCCTTGTTCTCCAGACAGCGCAGTTGTGGCGCTCGGTTCTGTGTGAAGTTCTCGAGCGTGCGCACATCCACCTCCACTCACTCACGCACAAAGCGCTTCTGCTCAGGTTACTGTAAATGAGACCTCCAGTCTTACTACAATTACCTGTTTAATGGACTAAATAGCCAGCAGGATCAGAAGCCATAATATGAAGAAACGCTACATGGATATAGGCAGGCTACGGAAAATGAAAAAGATTAAGCTCACAGAGAAGATTTCCGAAAGGTATGACAGCGCTCGCGCTGCTTTGTTGTTTTGTTATTGCTCTTATTCGTCTTCACCTGAATGGCTCGCGCTTGGCTATTCATAGCGCGCTCAACGGATTGACGCAAACAACAAACAAACAGCATCTGCTGTTATGACAAATAATCGGGGTTTAAGTCAGGGCAAAAGCTCGCTGTGATTTAATGGATGAACGCGGGGCCGAATCTATATTTCTTGTGGAAACAGTGCAGCGGGCCACGCTGCTAACCAATTATTTAAATAAATAAAAATATCCCCCACTTAACCGTAGCATTGCATATTAAGAAATGTTATGCATTTCATTTATTTCAAGCTGTGATATGAATGAGCATAGTTATTATGTTGTGTGATGCAATGTCATCCAAGTAGTCTTGTTATTTCTTCATGACAATACGATGTCTGAAAACACAGACAAACTGACAAGGGCCTCTGACAGACAATGCGCGCAGGAATGTCGTCTATGTAATGCATTTTTTTTTCTCGGGGATTATTATTTTGTTTCTAAGCTGTATGATGTCCCGTGAATTATGCATATTTATTAATGAATAGAGCTGTGTTCATAAGTTGTTGGGTGCGTTGGTTTTATTCGATCAGGTTTGCTGATTTCAGACTATCGTTCCTAGTAAGGTTAACACACAACAGTGTAGTCTGAACTGACCCAGTCTCTTCTTCTATAGCCTAAAGTGTAAGTCATCCGGACACTAGCCTCCTGTGTTTATAGCTACGCTTCATAGAGAAATGAACGTGCGCAGATTTCTCCTGAAGCGGTTCCTTGTTCTTTAAATAGATACGGCAACACTGTAGAATCGACGTTTAGGTGCTGATGCAGAAGATGAAACGTTGCCATGGTTACCAAACACAAAAGGATGTGGAGAGCAGAAAGCCCGAACAAAGGAATGGAGCACAATAGACTGTGCGACCAAAACATGGATTGTAACGTTTTCAAGAACTTACTTTCTGGGCCTTAACATCTAACGTATATTCTGGCTCATATTTCTTTTGGAATACAGAACAGGATTGTTTGTTTTTGAGTCAGTAGGAAGCAAAAATAAAAAGTATAAACAGAACGCGCGTTTCTGTAGAACTCGTAGTTCTGACGTCTGTTTTGACTTTAGTAAAACGTCATATTTATTTATTTTTTATTAATAAAAAGAATTCACATACAAAAATTGTCTGTTATTGATCAATAACTCAAAAAACACTGTAAAATTATGATTCTTTGTGGGTGAGGAAAGACTAAAATTGTAATTCTATGTCCTGTTTTCAGCGCCTACTCTGTTCTGAAGTTCATGATTGTCTGGATGCTGGTGCTGTTAGCTGACTTTGTTCTGGAGTTCAGACTGGAGTACCTGTGGCCTTGCTGGCTCTTTCTAGGGACCGTCTACACCACCTTCCACTGTCATGGGCTGGTAGGCAGCATGCAATTGTATTGTTTACTTTTAGAATTATAACAAAACCTGGTCTATAGTTAAAAATATATATATTTTTTCTTGTTCCATTTTTAATATATGATATCAATTTTATGTTCTGCTGCATTTGTGCATTTCAAATGACATAAAAACAGACTTAGAAACTAACCTCTGCTTTTCTTTTACAGGCCATCTGTGTGGTTTTTGTGTGTGCAGCATTTACCCTGGACTTATTCTGTTTAATTTTTGTACCCTTACACTGGTTGTTTTTTGCAGCCAGCACATATGTCTTACTCAACTATATGTGGCATACAGGTAAGCCTTAAACATTTCTGAAGTCATCATTTCATTAACACTCACAGATAGAGTCTGTATATAATGATTGCTGGTTTAAAATGAAAAAAGTAAGTAACCTGGTTGCCTTACATTTTTAAGTTTAAAAGTTAATAAAATGATCAACAGAAATTCAAAATATGATGTTATATGAACCACATACAAATTGCTGTGATAACAAATCATGAAAATATTTTTTTACAGTGATGCACCTGAAAGTATTACAGACTGTCTATAAACGTATTTATGTATTTACTTACTCACATACTTACTTTCAGAGAAGGGCATCTGTATGTCAACTGTGACATTATGGATACTCTTAGTGTATATGGAGGCCTCTCTACGGTTGAGGGACCTGAAAAGCCCTCATGCAAATCTGTCCCATTTATTTGCTGCACACTGGTAGGTCCTAATTGTCCATATAATTTGGGGTTTTAAATGAACAACTTCTTTACCAGCTGTGTTTCATTCTGTACAATAATTATTTCTTCCAGCATTGGTTATCCACTAGTTTATATGGGATTTGATGCAACCTGCTACTTCTCCAGTATGTTTAAGCTGCGTACTCAGAAATCTGTTCAGAGTGACAGTGTCCTCCACATGGATCTCCTGCAACAATCCCTACCTCCTTATATGCACCTGTACCCAAAATTGGTGTTGGAAGGTACGTAAAATTTCTTTAACGATACAATATAATAAGAGACATAATTTCCAAAAGTCTTTCAAAAATGTTCAATAGTTTGATATTGTTCAAAGAGACCATATTATACCCTTTTAATGTCTAGATGTTGTTTTTAGGGTCTAATAGAATATATTTTCATGCTTAAATGTTCCAAAAAAAAACATTTTCCCCATATTTTACATCGTAATTTTCTCTGATTGGTCAGCTGGGCCAGAGCGTTGTGATTGGTCAACTACTTTGATTGCGTTTTGGAAAAGTCACTCCTCTTTATAACCATGTGTTTCAACACACTATAACACAACTCAGCCTTGAGTTTTTCTTTTCTTTATTTTTTTTTAGTGGATGTGTCGGGCGAAATTATTTAAATGATATAGTGATACATGATACATGTGTGACATTAAAGGGTTAGTTCACCCAAAAATGAAAATTAAGTCATTAATTACTCACCCCCATGCTGTACCAACCCCGTAAGACCTTCGTTCATCTTCGGAACACAAATAAAGATATTTTTGATTGAATCTGAGGGCTGGATCACTTTTCCATAGACAGCCTGAGGGACTGCCTCTTGACGGCCCAGAAAGTCATTAAAATAAAAGGTTTAAATATTCCATGTGCCTACAGTGGCTCAACTGTAACTTTATCAAGCGACGAGACTACTTTTTGTGCGAAAAAAAAACGTAAATAACGACTTAATTCGACTTTCCATTACTTCCTTATGGGCGCATGCGCGAGAACTGAGACGAGACCGTTCTTCTTCGACTACTTTTTGTTACCGGCTGCTCACCGCTTAGGAGTTTTACCCCCCCACTACCGTATAAGATGACGTACTGCTTGTAAACAGAACGTTTTGCGCCTCCGGCTATATCAGTACGTCATCTTATACGGTAGGGGGCGGTAAAACTCCTAAGCGGTGAGCAGCCGGTAACAAAAAGTAGTCGAAGAAGAACGGTCTCGTCTCAGTTCTCGCGCATGCGCCCATAAGGAAGTAATGGAAAGTCGAATTAAGTCGTTATTTACGTTTTTTTTTCGCACAAAAAGTAGTCTCGTCGCTTGATAAAGTTACAGTTGAGCCACTGTAGGCACATGGAATATTTAAACCTTTTATTTTAATGACTTTCTGGGCCGTCAAGAGGCAGTCCCTCAGGCTGTCTATGGAAAAG